AAGAAGAAAACACATCAACCATTTATTCAGTATAACATATATATATATATATATGAACATTTATATATTTTTACCTGTATTTGGAGGGMTTTTGGGGCCACGAATCAACCCATTTGTCTAAAGGATGACAATGGTGTTTCAGGGTGTCCCTCCAAAGGTGGATCGGCTCTCTAGCATAATTGAAAGTAGATGTGTACAGTCTACAACTCTTGTGAAAATCTTGAGAGTATAGACTTGCTTTATCTTCATTCGGCATGTTAAAGAACTCTTTGACGACTTCCATTGTATCATCAATCAAATCTTCACAAACTCCATGGTTGATAACCTAGTTCAAATGAGTCAAAAGTTAAATTTTCATACGGTTTTAAGAAATCATGGATGCATGTCATCATCGTTATGCAAACGAATCAGTACAAAATGATCAACCAAACCTGAAAGAAACCGGAGTCTTGGCAAGCTTGAAGAATTTGTTGAACAACATCCTTCCGACCACCAGAAACTRCTTTTTCAAGATCGATCACCGGACAATTGCTGAAAACGGGAACAGTTTCTTTCCCAGGTCTTTCCCCTTCAGGGAAGACATAATTCTGGGGTAAAGATTTCACAGTGGTGCACCAACTCGAAAGCAAATTCTCCATAGCTGATGACTTATGAGCTCAAAGAACACATCATATATGTGTATATATATAGCAACTTATTATTTATTTTTACCTTTATGTTTAACTATAATCAAAATGTAATCCATTTTAATAATTCTTTTTATATATAAAAAAATCTAAAAAGTATTTATATAAAATTCGTTCTAAAATAAGTGTTTATTTTTTAAAATAAATGTTTATCTTTTCATTCGACCCTTAATTATGAGGTGGAAAAACTTTCTTTATCTATAATTTATGATATTGTTAATTAAAAAAATGTAATAATTACACATTTCTAAAATTATCTGTCATTTTCATTATGGACATTTCATTTAAAACGGAGGGTGTAACATAAAATATTTTAAATATCTGATTAATACTTATGCGTAGATTTTAATCAAATTACATACATTAATCCAAACTAGAAGGGTACTCATACAATGTAGCGAGATACATCTCGATTTTAATGTTTCATTTTATTTCCTTTTTTTTTGTCTCATTTGATGTTATAATATGGTTTTTTGTGGTTTTGAAAAAAAGATAATGTTTTTATTTTTGAATAAAATATAAATATGAAGATATCATAAAAATTAAAAAAAATATATTGATATTAATACCAAACAAACTATTTAAAATTTCTCTTTTTTTGTGTATTTCCTTAATTCATTTTTTTATTTTTGGTTTAATAATATAATTTTTTATAAAGATAATGATCAAGTATTTTGTTAGAAGTCAATGATTATTCTAATTATATTTTAGATTTTTTATATTCAAAATGAGATATTTATCCTCTATTTGATTGTATTTATCTATAGTTAGTTACATAAATTCAAATATGAAGCTTAATAAGTTGTATTTATGTACAATTTACTTGTAATCTTGAATTTTAAGTAATATGAATCAATAAGCAATACTTCATATATAAAAGATGGTTTTCAATAGTTTTTTGTCAAATGTTTTATAATATACAGGGCCGTCCTAATCTTTTTGGAGGCCCTGTTACACCTGTTATCATGTACTACTATTATAGTTCAATAACAAGGCACATTAAGGGATTCTTGGGACAACTCCTCTCATAATGGCGATAACTTTTCACTCGTTTTGAAGTGGCTTCAATGTCGATACTAGGAATATAGTTATGCTTACTCCTTGTACTACACAATTTCCAGCCATACTCGGTCTTTTGGATCAAATACTGGACTTGTAAACTTCTGCTTCTTATTTGCCCCCTTTCTGAAATGGATCTGCCATTTCACCAAAAGTGATTCTTTGAGATGTGAGAGAAGAAGCTGAAGGACAAAATATATACCAAACAAATACAAATCACAATCCCAAGATTGCCACTGATGCGAACTTTATAGAAAACCCATATGACCTTTTCGCTTGTCGACCAAATCGAGCTATAGGCAAACCCATCTTCTTTAAACCCATCGACTTAAAAGTTAAAAAAAACAGATGGAAAACTACGTTACATAATCAATTTCAATGAAGAGGAATAAAAACAAACAGATTGTGGGCATGAATGGATAGTAAAGTCAGAAGTGTTAACTGTAAGCGAAATGATGTAGAGATCAAGAAGAATAAACAAATTGTTGAAGTTAGTTACCAATTGAATCCTTAACAAAATTGCATTGACATAAGCAATGCAAGTGATACCCATGTGCGTTCTTAGCTTGCTTGAATCTTGATTTAACTTCCAAAACAAGTTGGATCACAAAATCGAAAAGGATCCCATGAAATAATAACTTTCTGATAAGAGTAGAAAAGGGAAGTAAACAGTTGGTAGCCCAAATCAAAACCAGAAACAAAATCGGTAACTCAAAGAAAAACCAAAAACGAAATCGGTAACCCAAATCAAAACCAGGAATGAAATCGGTAATCCAAACCAAAACCTAAAAGCAAAATCAGTAACCGAAACCGAAACTAAACAAAAAATTGGTAACCCAAATCAAAACCAGTAACGAAATTGGTAACCTAAACTAAAACCAATGCCACCGAACACCAGAAGGGAATAAGGTGATGTTGGTTAATAATCTTCCTTGTCAACAAAGGGATGCCTTTGGATTCGGGTTCATGGAGAAGGAAGGGGCAAATGAGAGACATATTTGGTGACGATTTGGAAGGGGCAGATGACGATGAATCAGGAGGAAGATAGAACTTCAAAGCGTCGTTCATGGAGTAGGAACTAGAAGGGCTGTGAAATTTGGGCCCCAAAATTTTGGGGGCCCTGTTCTAAATAGCAGATTTAACAGGTCAAGGAACGGGCCTGATAATATAGCATAGATAGTTGTATTATCTTAATATTATATATGATATTTATAAAAAATAATAGTATATAATTAATAAACGTACATTTTTACTGTACGATAAAAAAGCACTGTTTTTACCCTAATCCGTATATTTTTGTTTAACATGAATACTTTCAAATAAATAGATAAAATATCTTATAATATACAAAGTGCGGATCATTTACAAACACTCGTATTTGTATTAATTATGGTAATATTAGATGAAATCATTTACCTTTATTAATTGGATTTTCTGTATATGGTAATCAGTCTTTATCATTTAACAAATATATCTTTTATTTTTATTTTTTTGCTTATCCGGTTGTCTGTCTTTTTGTTTTCTTTCACCAATGAGATCGTATTGATGCATACCTATTATTTTTATTCAGTAAAACACGTTATTTCAACAATGAAGCATGAAACTACAACTATTTCATTATTTCAGTAATAAAATTGAGGTTTGTTTATATATATATATATATGGTTTCATGAATGAAATTTGATTTTGTACTGGTAAAACAAAAACAATTGTAATAAGAATCTGGAAAAATATGAATAAAAAAGATATGAAATCTGACTAGTAATATCTTTAAAAAATTATACAATAAGATCTCAATAAAATAGACAAAAAAAATTTGATAATTATTATCATTAATTAACTAATTATCCAATCAACTAAAAAAAGACAGAATTGCCCTCTTTTAATAATTAAAACCAAAAGTAAAAAATAAATATCCAAATTGTTATAAAAAATTATCGTCAATTCATTTCATCCGTGGATGAAAGAAATCAATTGGTGAGATACGTTTGTACACTTCTTATGATTTGTGATATCTGTAAGATCCAATTTATAGAAATATACAGTATAGGCTTTAGGGTCTTAATCAAATGAGAAATCTATAATTTATGATATCTGTGAGATCCAATTGAAGTCATTAATTTAACATAATTATATTATTTATTAAATAAATATAGTTTTTACTATTTCAATAAGTTATTAGAATAGCTTTTCAGCATTGTAATAAAAAGTAATTGAAAAGCTTAGAGTTTTACAACCAGTTATTATTATTTCAGTTAGTTTTAGAAACGTATGTTACGTCGGAGATGGTTTTTAAAAAGAGTTTTTGTTAGATAGAATTGGTGGAAATATGACGTGGTAAAAATAAAAAGTCATTGAATGACTTACGGATTGTGGATTCCATAAATAAAAAATTCATAACTCTTCAAATAAAACATTAACTAATTGTTCATAATATGTAAAAAAAATAAGTGGTCACAATGTTTAATTGAAATAATATATTTGGTAGTAATTCACATCATAATACTACAGATTTTGGGTTTTGGGTTCACTGAAGATGTTTGACGAGTGTTCAAACTTGATTATTGATTTTGTTCGCAATGTGTATCAGAGTCCTTACAAGATGTTTTTAGTGATCTGTTTTTTTTTTTTTTTGGTGTTTTTGTGTTTATATTGTGTACATATTTATACAAAAAAGTTTCATTTATTATTTTTTAAATTCTAAAATTTGTTATAGTTTTCTTTAAAACTAAGAAAATCAAATTAACATTTTTTTTTAAATTAGTAAAATTTGTAATTTTGTTTAGAAAAATGACAGTAAAAGTCAAAAAATAAATGGACGAAATCCTAATAACATTTTTAGGCCTAAATTTTACGACATTTTTATTAACAAATAAATAAGATATGTTTAAATATTTACGATCGTTGGTAAATCTATACTATATTATAAAGCATTTGACAAAAACTTTTAAAAACCATTTTTATGCATGAAATATTGTTTATTAATGCATATTACTTAAAATTCAAGATTACAAGTAACTTTATGTAGGTAGAACTTATTAAAGCTTTATTTTTAAATTCGTGTAACTAAATGCAGATAAACATAAATAAATTCAGGATAAACATTTATTTTAAATATAAAAAATATAAAATATAATTAAGATGATCATTGAGTTCTAACAAAATGTTTAATTATTATCTTTATAAAAAATTATATTATTAAACAAAAAAAAGTACTTTGTTATTAGACCTAAATTAAATTATAATAAAAAATTGAATTAAAGAAGTTACACAAAAAAAACGAGAACTATTGAATAGTTAACTTGATACTGATATTGATTTTATCTTTTTCAAATTTTTATGCTATCTTCAAATTTATTAAAAACTAAACAGAGAACTATTAAATAGTTGATTTGATACTAATGTCGATTTTATTTTTTTCAAAATTTTATTTATTTTCAAATTTATAGAAAAATTAAACATTAAAATAAAGATTTATATCACTGCATTGCACAAGTACCTTATAGTATTCACAAATTAATAAACAAAATACAGGCAATAGTTAAAAGTTTTTTTAAAAAATGCCCTAATTCTACTGTACAATAAAAAACATTGTTTTTACCCTAATCAGTATATTTTTTAAATGAATAATGTCAAATAGATAAATAGAATATTTTATAATACATACATATATATAGGGGACTAATCAAATGAGAACTGATTAGTTTGTGGTAACTGTGAGGTCCAATCTCAACCACAAATCRGCGGATAAATTAGGAAATTAATAATTATGGTAGTTTGAGTTAAAATTATAATTAGAGGGCGTATTAGGTATTTTTTTAAAACTTCTCTCTCCTCTCTCATCTCTCCGACCTCCAATCTCTGGCCTTCGGTGAAATCGGTATCACAGTATATCACAATTAATATCACATTGTTTATTACAATGGGTATCACATTGTGTATTACAATGGGTATCACATTGTGTATATTTGTTTTTAAGGTTTGAGTTGGTATCAGAGTTGGTATCACAGTATATTACAATGGGTATCACATTGTGTAACTTTGTGATTACTTGGTACCTGCCGGATTAATGTTCACTGGAGGCCGAAGATTGGAGGTCGGAGAGATGAGAGAGGAGTTTTTTAAAATTCATAAAATGTCCTCTAATTATAATTTTAACTCAAACTACTATAATTATTAATTTCTTAATTTATCCATTGATTTGTGGTTGAGATTGGATCTCACAATTACCACAAACTAATCAGTTTTCCCTTGAATGAGTCCCTATATATATAGAGGTTGATTATTATACAACCCATGACATTTGTGCAATCAATACAACTCAATCTCAACCGTTCATTTCATTTGATTAACATGTGATTTCATAAAAGTTTTGATTGTTTTCTAATATAAAGTATTGATCATAATTAATGAACCATATTCATCTTTCATAAATATTCAAATCATAATAAATGAACTCTCATCATTTCCATAAATATCTCAATTTAATGAATTGCATTGGTTGTACAAATGCAACAGATTGTATTTGAAACGAAAACAATAATCAAATAAGAAATAAAAAGAACATATATGGACTATAAAACTCATTAAATAATTTTTTAAATAAAAATTTCCAAAAATAGATAACTGAGAACATAAAAATCTTTTGATTATGTAAGAGCTTTAAGGAATTTATATAATATTTTTAATTTTTTAATGTGATTTAATTTGTATATAAAAAAAATTATATTTATTTAAAGCAATATTTAAAAAAAATATAATTTTCGTCAAAATCACATGTGATTCACAATTAGTTTTTTTTTTTTTTTTAATATTTTCCTGATCACATGTGATGTGTGGCAAAACATATTTAAAATGTATAAGATCGCATGTACTTTAAAATGTAATTCGTAAATTACACATATCACATGTAATGTTGTCGATAACTAAATATTTTTTCTACTATTATCGTTATCATATATGATACATTGACGAAAATTAACAATTTCTTTTAGAAAAAAGCATCGAGTAATTGTGGATATCACATTAGATTTTTGACGAAAATTGTAAAAAAATCTTAAATAAACTAAGGAAAAAGTTCAAAAAAAAACCTAACAAACTTTCTCATTTTGAAGGTATAGTCCCAGACTATTTTTTTGAATAAAAACCCATTAAACTTTCTCTTTTGCTATGATTAAGTCTCTGAACTATTTTTTTGAATGAAAAAACCATTGAACCTTCACGTTTTAAATGATTAAAACCTTGATTTTTTTTAAATAAATAGCCATAGAACTTTTACTAGTTGATTAATGTAGCTTTTTTGAGTTAAAATGATGTAGGTAATCAATTTTTAAAAGTACAATGATTTATTTATTAAAAATATGTTCAGAGACTTAATCAATCAAAATTAAAAGTTTAATAACTTTTGCATTCAAAAAGAGAAAGTTTAATAATTTTTTCATCTAAGAAAATAGGTCATGAACTTAATCATACAAAATGAGAAAGTAAAATGGTTTTTCATTCAAAAAAATAGTTTAGGGACTAAACAATTAAACAAGAAAAGTTTGTTGGGTTTTTTAAACTTTTACCATAAACTAATTAAATAAAAAAAATATTTAAATAAAAAATTAAATCACACTTATTTTAAATATAGTAAAAAAATAATCATGATTAAATCATAAAAACTGTAAAAAAATCTTAATTAAATACATTAAATAATTTCAATAGAAATAATTAAATTTCCATACATGATCCATATACAACAAATGACAATTATACCCTTTTGTGACTCTATTGTACCGTCTTCTAAATGAAATTTGATTTCTTATTTCTAAACGAGACAAATTAGGATATTATTTCATCCGTCCCAGAATAAATGTCTACATTATTATTCTAATTTGTCCCAAAATATATGTCCATTTTAAAAGTGAATATATAATTTTTCATTTTACCCTTAATTATGAGATAGAGGAAATTTCTCTCTTTATAAACCATTTATTTTTATACATAAAATATAAAAACTACAAGAATCTCCAAGAACCATTTATTTTTATATATAAAATATGTATAAAAAATCTAAAATAATTATACGACACGTTTGAGATGTAACATCAGATATCGGTTTAACATTTTACTGTGATTTTCTTTCGCTTTATAGATTCCAAGAAATTCATTAAATTAAAAAAGGGTTAGTCGTTGATGAGAATATTTTCAGATTATATGATGTTAGATTTCGAATTACTGTTATCACTCTGTGTTTTAGATTTGTTAGCTTTCCGTTACTAATAACCTTCATTATATTCGATTAGGATTCATAATTGTCACAACTCTATGCTCTGGACTTTTAAGCTTTCCGTTACTAATAAGCTGAAATTATTTCAAAACTGATGTACTTTTTCAAATTCAGTAATCGTACATAAAATTAGTAGTAAGTGGACCACTTTACTCCAATATATTTTGAAAACGTTTAAACAATGAAAGATTCTAAAACAAACTAATCCAACCAACTTTGAACCAATTAGGGTTCCTAGTACCTTCGGTAGTAGACCAATGTTAACCACAAAAGTATTAGCAATTAGATTTTGTTAATTATTTAAAGAAAGAATGACGGAAATTCCGTCCCTATATTTAATTAAATAATTATTTATTTATTTTACTCCCATCAGAAAACCGTCAATAATCCATTAGTATAAGTGGTCATTGGTAATATGTCGATATAGTTATCTGTCGGGAATCATCGGAAACATTGGTTGTCGGCAATCCATTGGAAAGGTAGCCGTCGGTAATCCGTCAGAAACATTACCTATCGATAATCTATAGGAAAGGTAGCCGTCGGTGATGACAGCCTTCTGTAAATTCGATATATTATTATTTTTTATTAAAGTATTGTACTTTTATAATAAAGAAATTTATGAAAGTAAGCTACTGTAATAAAGAAATTTTTGAAAATAGGTTGCTAGTGTAAAAATGGGCCGAGCCCAAGGCTAGATTTTGGGCATTGTGGATAATGATGGGCCGAAAACAATCGGGTCCAGGAAGCCCAGGTCTAAAATACCAGGCCCAAGCCCAATTCTTTTACATTGTTATCAATCTATGGTCTAGACTTGTTAGCTTTAGGTTACAAATAACAATAATTATATTCAATTAGAATTGGTCATACGGTGACATGGTTAGATTATAGACTTCAAAATTTGGAAAGAAATCGTGACGGAGAGTGAAGAGTTAAAGAATCATCGGCAAGGACAACTTCGAAACGACTTAAACACGTCTTTGTCTTCTATTATACATCAAATACAATAAACCCAAAAAAACAGACCAAGTACTGAAAACCATTTCTTATCGAACATATTTAACCCTCAATCTTAAACACTTTGAGCGTAGCTTCACCCTCGCCTCGATGTTCTTGGTTTGCCTGGAGAAACTCTTTGTAACTAAAGGCCCGATAAAGAGGGCGACAATCATCTTTCTCAAGGAGCACCTTCGCAGGTTCAATTACAGTATCGCTACAAGTGCCGATGAAGCTAGTAATAGTGTACCTTGGCACTTTTGAGTTTGTAACAACTCTATGCTCTACACTTTCAAGCTTTCCGTTACTAACAACCTGAGATTATATCAAAACCGATGTACTTATTTATATTCAGTATTCACACATAAGATTAATTACTAGTAAGTAGACCACTTAATTCCAAATATTGTAAACACGCTTACAGAAGGAAAGATTCTGAACAGAACAATACCAACCAAATTCAATCGAGATAGGGTTCATGTACCTTCAGTAGTTGACCAATGTTGACCACAAAAGCGTTAGCAACTGGTTTGACCCCAAACCATTGTCCATCCTTCATTACTTGAAGGCCACACGTATTTCCTTGATAAAGAATCGTTATGATATAAGGGTCACAATGTTTTAATATTCCTAAAGCCAAACTCGGGTCAGGGCATGGTGGGTAGTGGCTCAACAATAACGTCTGAACGTCTGTCAGTTCATCCCCAAAGTATCCGGGCTTGAGGTCGAGTCCTTCACGAATCATCTCTAGTATTCTTAACGACAAATTCCTTACTTCAACTGAATACGTCCCCAAAACATCTCTTTATGAAGAAAAAAAACCCATCAAGGCCTTTATTTAGTAGAAAACATATACATACATTTTATAAACTTTACCTGTATTTGGAAGGCTTTTTGGGCCATGAATCAACCCAATCTTCTAATGGATGACAACGATGTTTTAGAACATCTCTCCATACATGGATCGACTCTTTAGCATAATCGAAACTGGATGTATATAGTCTACAACTTTTTTGAGGATCGAGCGAGTATAGACTTGCTTTTTCTTCATTCGGCATGTTAAAGAACTCTTTAGCCATTCTCATTGTATCTTTGATCAGATCCCCACAAACCCCATGGTTGATAACCTAATTGCAAACGAGTAAAAATTAGTTTTTCGTATGGTTTCAAGAAATCTTGGAGTCATGCACATAACAACATGCATGCTATCATCGCTATGCATGTACATAAATCAACAAACCAATACAAAACAATCAGATATACCTGAAATAATCCATATTCTTGGGAAGCTTGAAGAACTTGTTGAATGATATCATTCCGATCACCAGGAACTTTTTCTTCAAGATCGATAATCGGACAGTTCTCTAAGATAGGAACTATTTTGTCCCCCGGTCTTGTATCCTCAGGGAAGACATAGTCTTGGGGTACAGATTTCACAGTGTTATACCAACTTGAAACCAACTTTTCCATACCAAATAACTGATGAGCTTGAAGTACACTTGATAGATAAGCGTATATATAGTAACTTATTTTATCTTTAATTTCAAAAGCGCTTCTACAAGTGTAAATATAGTAATTTAGGTTAATAGGATACTTTGGACATTTATGTCTTTTTATAATCCGTTTGGTAAAATCATCATTATCATTGAGTATTTTAAATATTTGATTACTAATTTTCTTTTATATATATATATATATATATATATGTATGGAGTCCTTTCTCTTACAAGCCTAATAATTTGTATAAATTTATATATCAGTTCTCGTGTGTTATTTCGTATATGAAATAATATGTGTGAAAATACATTGTTTATACAGTGTTTTTATATGGTGAAACGTTTAACACTGTTTTTTTCCTTTCATACACAAAACAGTCATGAACGTTTTATATACGAAAGAACATTGCATTTGCACACATGTTGTTTCATATACAAAACAACACATGAAAAATTGTTTGTAAGTTTGTACGGTTTATTGGATATGTAAATGATTATATGTCTGTATGTATCAAATCAAATGTTGTTTTATTTTTTTTAACATCTTAGATCAACAGTACATGATATTGTTCACTTTATCCACACACCCGGACTCACGATTTTAAATGATAGATGATGTATCAAGCCCCTTATAAGGCAACGTTTGTTCCCCTCCCCAACCAATGTGGGATCTTACAATCCACCCCCCTTGGGAGCCCAACGTCCTAGTTGGCACACCAGTCTGATTCCTGACGCTTTTACCGTCTGTAACATCTCAAGCCAACCATATCAGATATTGTCCGCTTTGTCCATATACACCCGAACTTACGATTTTAAAACGCGTCTGATAGAGGAGGTATCAAGCCCCTTATAAGGCAACCTTTGTTCCCCTTCCCAACCAATGTGAGATCTTACAATTTTAATTTTAATTTTTTTTTTTGTATATGTATTCACACCCACACACAAAATATATTTGAAATAAAGATACATATATATATATGGGCGGTTCAAATAAAAAACTAAATATGGTGATAAAGTAAGGAACAAAAGTTAAGGGAATGTTCAAATGTGAATTATTAAAAACATCAATTTGAAGATACATATGTGAACTGGCGTTAAAAATTATTTATATGGGTTTACATATGCATTTTTAAATAAATTTTTTCAATGATTAATATATAAATCTTATCTTCTTACCTTATTACAATATTTAGCTTTTTTATTTGAACCTTCCAATATATATATATATATATATATATATATATATATATATNATATATATATATATATATATATATATATATATATATATGTTGGTTTTCGATAGAAATAGTAGTTACCATGAGAAGAGATCTCCACCGTTGGATCAATCAAACAATTAATTTGAAGATCAATTGAAAATGTTCTTCTAAGCTAACTCATCGACTATTTGGTAACTTAATTTGAACCATTAGATCAATATTAATTAAAAGTGATAAATGGTCCAAATCCATTCTTACACTTCTCACATTAACTCTTATTCTCACACGAACCTTCGTCTACATATGTGTGTGTGTACGTGGACGTAATTAAATGAAAACTCTATATATTGTGATTATATATAGATGTTTGAGAAGGAAAGTTATGGTGAGAAGCATAAGAAAATGTCTGAACCCTGGATCACTTTTAATCTCATGAATTGTGTTTTAGAAGAAAATTGACCCGATGAATCTCGATACACCTCATTAGTGTTGACATTCAATTACGATAGATATAAGAGTGGAGATTTATTCTTATGCTTATCACCGTTACCTCCTTTTCAATGGAACTCAACCCTATATGTGTGTGTGTGTATTGGGGTATCATGCGTATGTGTAACACTCTAAAATGCATAAAATAATTAACTTGTACGCGATATTAATGTAAAATTAGGAAACATTATGTGTAATTTAAGAAACTTATAAATTATAGTGGTAAAGTAAGTTCCAAATCTTAATTAGGGATTTGTTTTGTATACAAATAGAGTGACTTAAACTTATGAGATGATAAAATATGGCTTTTCCATATATATATATATATATATATATATATATATATATATATATAGAGTTGTATTTGGATCAATATATGCACAAAAACACAAATATGCACACAATTCCTTATCTAAAAAATCAATATATACCCATAAACACATTCTTGCGTTTACGTACACTAATTAACCATACTTTTATCGATTAATTTAAACTCCTATGGTTCTCTTCTTTTGCATTTTGCATCAAGACATCAAGTTTATACACCAACATATATATGCACATAACTAAACACAACTATGTATGTATATATACATACACACACACGCATTTTCTTATATATAAAAAAAATCCAATTTTATATATCAATATATGCAAATGCGTGCAAACACACACACATATATATATATATATATATATGTATATATATATATATAGAGAGAGAGAGAGAGAGATGTATTTTCTTCAAATTTATAGGTCAAATACATAGACGGAAACGCAAATATGTATAATTTATAGTTCTCTTAGATTTGTCATTATCCCTTAAATGTTGATGGTATCATCGAAGAATTCTTATGGTGATGCCTTATCGATAATGATGTGATATACTGTGATCTCATTGTGATAATATTTTGATAAATCTAAGATTTCTTATGATGTGATTTTGTTGTGATAATTCGAAAACCAATGATGATCGCATCTACAATCATCGGCTTTGTATGTTCATTATGTGATTTGCAGATATATTTTCCTGTTTTACCCTACATGCCTTCAATATTCTTAAAAAAGGTAAAACAAATTGAAAAAACCGAGCTGAACAAGATAAATTTACTCTTTCTTCACTTGAATTCATCTTCTCATTGAAACTCAAATGCGAATTGACATTTTGTTGAGAAAATACAAGAATCCAAATTTAATTCTCGTGTCGTAAGGGAAAAAAATAATCAATGTTGGACTAACTTAAATAAATACATATATAATAAACCATTTTTATGGTCATCCCACAATTAGGTTTCACAATGCCATAAATTAAAATTAGGTTTATAGGATGTTAAAAACGTGTTACTGTCCTAATAGATAACTTTATAGGTTTTCAGTTTACAAGACTAAACAATTGTGAGTCTTGTGAAAAAGTGTTGCAATAAGTTTTTATCATGTTTTAACAATACCGTTTAAAAAATAAAGTGTCGCATTAGCACTTTTTAGTACTATCCTATGAACACGTTTTTATAAGACACTTGTTTTTACAAAATATTTTTTATAATGTCATAGTCAAAAATTAATATGCCGATTTATTTTAAAAGTGTCGTAAAAAAATGTTAAGACGCCAAAGAACATTCTACAAACTAATTCCAACGTTTTTACATAGAACATACAATTCTTGGTAATGTAAACTAAGGGGATGTTTAGGATTGCTTATAAAAACAACTTATTAACTTATTCCGATGTGGCACCGGTAGTAAGCACTTTTGAGTGTTTGGATAAACAATTTATACCGGTGTCAAACATGTAATAAGAAGTTTTTGAGAAGTTAAATCATTCTAACTTATAATAAGTCGATAAAATCGTATAAAAAATAATAATAGAACGGTTTATTTTGAAAGTGTCGTTGCAACAAAACCATATTTATAGGACGACAACAATTTTTGGGTGTCCCAATAGACTGTTTTATAAGAAAAAATAAAATAAAATATTATATATAAAGATGTTGTAATAAATTTATAAAATACTTTTAGACGTCTTGACAAGTTTTTTTAAAACATTTTTAACATGTTGTGAACGGTTTTCGAGTTACTACAGTACAGTAGCATAAATATGTGGGCCAAGCCCAAGGCAAGATTTGGATTGGGGCATGGTGGATATTGGATAATGATTAGCTCAAGCCTCAAGGTAATTGGGTGCAAAAAGCCCATGTCCAAAATACCCAGGCCCAAGCCCAATTCTTTCACACATCATCTCCAATATTCATGATGATATCTCGTCGATTTCAAGTGAATAACTTTCGATATTCAAAATAGCGTGAGGTGTAGCGTGCCGGTGAGGTCAAGCTTCAAATCTTACACGTAATAGTGAGGACGTGACGTTTTTCAATGCGTGACATAAATCGATAAATTTATATGTCACATACAGAATTTTCATATATACATATATTAATTGTGAGTCAATAACGTGTATAAATTCGTGAAACCGTGAGTGATGTAATTAAATAAATTTATTAAAGTGTAAAAACACAAAAGTTAAAATACTAAAACAATTTTTTTTTCTTTTTGAAAAAAATCACGCCTTGTAAAAAACGCACGCCATGGCACAGCATGGCGTGCCTCAAGGAACCATTGCGTGACCACGTCTTCACAGCAAAAATACTGTGAATGTTATCTTCACAGTATTTTGATGTAAAATTTCAAGTATAAAAATCGTATCTCATAACGAGTAATTGATTTAATATGATATGTTACGTTTGCCATTAATGACCTTGTATATATAGATAGAGAGAGAAAGAGACACGTATTTCCTTATATAAAATTCAAATCTATAGATACAAAAAATGTATGTATACACACCATACACGCATTTCCATATATAAAAAATGAAGTCTAGTATATATACACACGATACACGTATTTTTTATATTTAAATAAATTAAAAAATTTAATAGCTGTTTTATGGTTATCCCACGATTATGTTTCACAATCTGATAATACGTTATAATAAAATTGAATTTATAGAACGTTAAAAATATTTAAATGTCATAATAGATTGATTTATAACAATTGTGAAGTTTGTATGATATTTTAGGACGTTTTGACAAAAAATTTACGTTATTTTTAATTAAAATAAAATGTTATATTAGTTTTTTTATACTTTTGAGAAGTGTCATACGAACGTATCTACATGACACTTGTTTTTATAAAACACTTTTTATGATGTCATATGAAAAATTAATTTGGAAAAGTCATAAATAACTTGTTAATATTCACAATAACGTCCTATATAAAGCTTTTACATAGGACAACAATTGATTGATCCTGTAAATTGAAGTTCTGAAAAACAGTCTATTATGACACTTATGAGTTGTTTGTTTACCTCTTAATAATTTCATTAAGAGGCAATTTCTGAATCGTTAAGAGGTAAATCTTGTTTGGCAAAAAAAAATCTGTCTTTTAATAGTTTAAAAACTCTCTGAATGATTTTGTATCCTGAACCTCCCTAACCATTCAGAGCCCTAATTTCATTGTAAACAATTACCAAACAATTATATTTCATTTTACACTATATAATGAGAGTCTCTTAATCATTATGACCACTTAATCATTCTACATTCAACAATTTTCAAACAGCACTCTAGACATTTTTGGGTCTTATAAACCTGATTTTCTTGTAAAATTTGATATTTTCTCACTACATAGTAAACATTGTTTCATCAAGGTATCAAACAATAGATTGCAGATTTAACATACAAAAATATCAGATCATGTAAATTGGACAGAAATAACCAATCAACTCACATGTTCAGATGTTCTTAACCAATTGTGGGGGAGACACGAGGTTAAAAAACAATCCGTAATGTTTATTTTCAAAAGAGCGTAAATACGTCTTGGTCTTTTATGTTACATCACGTACCATAAACCTAACAAAAATAGAAACATCGAATATGAGATCCAGTACTAAAAGCCATTTATCATCAAACGCCTTTAACCCTTGATCTTAAACACTTCAAGGGTAGCTTCACCCTCGCCTCGATGTTGTTCGAATGCGTGACATAAGTCGATAAATTTATATGTCACGTATAGAATTATATATATACATATATTATTCAATCATATAATAATATTAAAAATTTTACATTCATATTAGAAAAAGAAAATTCATATAGATTATTATTGTAAAAGTAGTCTTTGATTAAATATTCAAAATAGAACTTAGAAAAGTAATTTTGCAACTTCGTTTTAATTCGGAGTCAATAACGTGTATAAATTTGTGAAACCGTGAGTGATGTGATTAAATTAATTTTATCAAAGTGTAAAAACATAAACGTTAAAATACTAAAACAGTTATTTTTTAAAGTCGCGTTTTGCAAAAAACACACGCCATGCCACTGCGTGGCACGCCTCAAGGAACCATTGCGTAACCCACGTCTTACAAAAACGCTATAGACCTTATCATAGCAGCAAAGATGCATCTTATGGGATATCACGTCATTGTATACACGTAAACATATATATATATATATATATATATATATATATATTTTCATGATGGATGTTATAAAGAAAACGTATATTCATGATGAATACTATTTATATTCATGATGAATGTTATAATGAAGATTTGTTGAATACACATGAAAATACACAACTATTCATGATGAATGATATAATAAGTTGTATATTCATAATGAATATCATACTAATATATGAATACTAAAAACTTGTTGTAAACATATGAACGTGCATAAATATTCATAATGAATATTACATATATATACTATTAGACGTTAAAAAAACGTTGAAAACATAAAATAATATAAAAATCGAGATGAATGTCAAATCGAAGATCATGAAATGCTCGATTTTTTGATGTAATTCATTTGATTAAAATATTAATTGTTGTTAAGATAATTTAGTTTAAAAATTAAGGGAGTAAAAAAGATTAATTAAAAAAAATTAAAAGTCAAATATGGTAAACATAAATCTTAACTTCCATTTTAGCCCTAATCACTTTATTAATTAATTTTTTTAAATTAATCATTGATTATTTTTCTAAATTTTGATCAATGGTTAAGATTTATCCTCGTGTTCACGATGAAACTGGAGTTTTCATTTGAACCCACATCTATATATATAGGTGTAATCAAGTGAGTATAAGTTGTGAGATCCAAAGTAAACCCATAATTTGAGATAATTATGAGCCGTTTACCAAATGTTTATTTGGGTAAGCGCTTACCAAGTTACATTAACTTATCGGATGAAAATGGAAAGGATCATGAATCTTATCAGGTAAGAGCGAGACAAAGACCTAAAGTCTTACCCGGTAAGTGAGGGCAATGACTCTTACCACAGTCAGCTCTTACCGGGTAATTCGTTGTATAGAAAGTCGTTTTTGTTGACTAAAATCTTATCCGATAAATAAATGATAGTGTTGAGTTTTACCGTTAGATGCTTACCGGGTAAGTATTTGGTAAATGACCCCTTAATGTTATTTTTTTTAAATAAAATAAAACGGTAATTTATAATTTGTTTTTTTTTTTTGACAACTTATTAAAACCTGTAATTAAATTTACTTTTCCATTATTTTAGGAAACTTATAACTCTCATTGTTTTACAAGACTCCTCAATGAAAATCTTGTGGTTTTATAGATAAGAGTAATTTTAACATTATTTAAATTAAACATGTATTTATAAATATCTGTAAGGTGTTTGTCAATGTACTCATCAGATTATTACATTTGAAACTCTACAATAAAATGTTGTGAAGGTAAAATAAAGTCGAATCTTCACAGTAAAAACACTGTGAATGTTACCTTTACAGTATTTTGATGTAAAGTTTCAAGTATAAAAAGCATATCTTATAAAAACAGTCTTATCTTACATGATCTCAAATCATTAATTTATTACGATCTGTTACGTTTGTCATTAATGACCTTGTATATATAGATAGAGAGAGAAAGAGACACGTATTCCCTTGTATAAAATTCAAATCTATAGATACAAAAAATGTATATATACACACCATACACGCATTTCCATATATATAAAAAATGAAGTCCATTATATATACACATCATACACGTATTTTTTATTTTATTTAAAAAAATTAAAAAAATTAATAGCTATTTTATGGTTATCCCACGATTATGTTTCACAATCCTGATCATATGTTATAATAAAATTGAATTTATATGACGTTAAAAATGTTTAAATGTTATAATAAATGGATTTATAACAATTGTGAAGTTTGTATGATATTTTAGGACATTTTGACAAAAAAAAAATTACGTTATTTTAATTAAAATAAAATATTATATTAGTTTTTCTACATTTTTGAGAAGTGTCATATGAACGTATCTACATGACAACACTTTTTATGATGTCATATAAAAAATCAATATGAAAAATTAATTTGGAAAAGTCATAAAGAACTTGCTAATACTCACAATAACGTCCAATAGAAAGCTTGTACATAGGACAACAATTGATTGATCCTGTAAATTGAAGTTCTGAAAAACAATCTATTATGACACTTAGGGTTGTTTGTTTACCTCTTAATAGTTACATTAAGATGTAGTCTCTGAATCGTTAAGAGGTGAATCTTGTTTGGCAAAAAAAGTCTGTTTCTTAATGGTTCTAAAACCCTCTGAATGATTTTGTATCCTGGACTTCCCTAACTATTCAGCGCCATAATTTCATTGTAAACAATTATATTTCATTTTGCACTATATCATGAAAGCTTCTTAATCATTATGAACATTTGATCATTCTACACTCAACTATTCAACAACTGTCAAACAGCCCTTAGACATTTTTGGGTCTTATAAACCCGATTTTCTTGTAAATTTTGATATTTTCTCACTACATAGTAAATCATTGTTTCATCAAGGTATCAAACAATAGATTGCAGATTTAACATACGAGAAACATCCTATTATGTAAATTGGACAGAAATAACCAATCAACTCACATGTTCAGATGTTCTTAACCAATCGTGGGGAGACATGAGCTTAAAAAACAATCTGTAATGTTTATTTTTTTCAAAAGAGCTTAAATACGTATTGGTCTTTTATGTCACATCACGTACCATAAACCCAACAAAAATAGAAACATTGAATACGAGATCCAATACTAAAAGCCATTTATTATCAAACGTCTTTAACCCTTGATCTTAAACACTTCAAGGGTAGCTTCACCCTCCCCTCGATGTTGTTCGAATGCGTGATGAAAGTCTTTGTAACGAAAGGTTCGAAAAAGAGGGCGGCAATCATCTTTCTCAAGAAGCTCCTTTGCAGGTTCAATGACAGCATCATTACGAGGGTTGATGAAGGTGGCAATAGTGTACCTTGCCTCTTTTGAGTTTGTCACAGCTCTATGCTCTACACTTTCAAACCTTCCATTACTGATAACCTGAAATCATTTCAAATTCGATGTACTTGTTTAAATTCAGTAATAGGACACTTGTTTATATAAGATATCTTTTTTTTTTCAAATAATATCATATTTATATATAAAAAGTAGGACACTCTATTTTGTTAAAGTAAAATCAACCAACTTTGGCCGAGTTAGGATTTATGTACCTTGAGTTGTTGACCAATGTTGACCACAAAAGCATTAGGAAATGGTTCGATCCCAAACCATTGTCGATCCTTCAATACTTGAAGCCCAGACACATTTCCTTGATAAAGGATTGTTATGGTGTTAGGGTCACGATGTTTTGATACTCCTAAGGCCAAACTCGGTTCGGGGCATGGTGGGTAGTGATTCAAATTTAATAGTTGAATGCCCGTCAATTCATCTTCGAAGTATCCAGGCTTGAGCTTGAGCCCTTCACATATCATGTCTAGTATTTTTAATGATAAATTTCTGACTTCAAGCGTATATTTCCCTACAACATCTCTTCATGAAGAAAAAAGCACTTCAACCATTTATTCATTATAACACATATAAATACATTATATATATATATATGTGTGTGTGTGTGTGTGTGTGTGTGTGCATACCTGTATTTGGGAGGCTTTTGGGGCCACAGATCAACATATTCATCTAAAGGATGGCAAGGGTGTTTCAGGGCGTCCCTCCAAAGGTGGATCGACTCTCTAGCATAACCGAAACTAGAGGTATACAGTCTACAACTCTTTTGAGGATCGAGCGAGTATAAACTTACTTTATCCTCATTTGGCATGTTAAAGAACTCTTTAACGATTCCCATTGTATCATCGATCAGATCCTCACAAACTCCATGGTTGATAACCTAATTCAAATGAATCAAAAGTTAACTTTTCATATGGTTTTAAGAAATTATGGAGACGTGCACATAACAACATACAGCTTATCATCACTATGCATATAAATAAATAAACGGATCAGTACAAAACGATCAACCAAACCTGAAAGAACCCGCAGTCTTGGCAAGCTTTAAGAATTTGTTGAATGACATCGTTCCGATCACCAGAAACTGCTTTTTCAAGATCGATCACCGGACAATTGTTGAAAATGGGAACAATTTGATTTCCTGGTCTTACATCTTCAGGAAAGACATAGTTTTGAGGTAAAGATTTCACAGTGGTGCACCAACTTGAAAGCAAATTATCCATGACTGATAACTTGTGAGCTCAAAGAACACATCATATATGTGTATATATAGTAATTTATTGTTTATTTTGTTTTCATAATTTTTGTTTTACAATTTTATTAGATTCACAGCCTATTAGGTTTTTTATACCAAATATCACTTTATGATACTTGTATTTTAATACTTTTTCTTACTTATTTTTTTCACATTCACATCATAAATTTAAGTCAGATATCACACTTGATATCGTTGATAGTAAATTCAACAAGTAATATCACGCATGATATACATCTGTTAATTGTGAATCACCATTAAACTAATAACATCACATGTGATATATTATATATTAAAAAGATAATTAACAATATCGGTGCACTTTTGCACCAAAACTTTGGATGAAGCTCTCCAGGCCACAATTGAGATTTTAGGAAATGCCTCTACCACTTCCAAGCCCCTTGTTAGACCTCTGTGGATATCCATAAAAAAAACTCATCTTTATCCCAAAGTTTGCTTGAACCTGCTGACAAGAGTTTTTACACACCCACAGACTTAGTAATCAGGACGAGAAACAAGTATACAATTAGTCTAAATATCGTCTCTCAAGTAATAAAATGGTATAGAATACTGAGTATCATCTATAGGGATTGTAGTAAAAGTTTAATAAAAGTATAATTAAAGAAACGGTTTCAGATGGCGATTTTGAAATGACCCAAACATAAAATACTTGAAATGAAAGCTTTAAGGAACTAACAGTACAAGAATTTTACATGTATATGATTTTATAAAGTGTAGGATGAACTCACAAGTTAGGTTTTGAAGAAAACCTAGAAACCTGGTAACATGATGGAGAGGAGTAGATCTTGAATCCCTAGCTTTAACATTGAAAGCTTGATGGTTAATGCCTCTATATGTGTCTTTAATGCTCTTCAAATCAGACCTACGGTTTCACCAAGAGTGCCGTAACTGTAGAGGAGAAGGGGTTGGTGAGTAAATAAATGAGGCTTAAGCTGAAAAACCCCAATTTTAACACTTGAATGAAACTTGTGACCCTAGGGTCATGGCACAAGGGTCGTCTGTGCTTCTGACTCAACCTATGGCACGAGAAATGCAATTGTGGTCTTTTGGTGCAAAGGTCGCAACCACAAGGGTCGTTGAGCCCCAAAATCCCCACTTACAGTATATGAAGCGCGACCCGACCCTTGCCATGCAAGGGTTGCGGCATAAGGGTCGCATGGCCCGTGATGAGGCTTGGAATGTCTGATTCAATGTCCTTTTTAAAGTTAATTCACAAGGCTAAGCCCAACAATCTAGAAAGTAAGCATAAGAACTTAATAAAGAGTGTAACCTCGATTAAGGCTCGATCAACAGACTAATCAGTTTTATTATAAAATTCTGGGTGTTACAATCTAGATGTGCTATAATATTTTCCACCAGATCTTTTATTTTTATCTTAACAAACTTTTGCACCATTTGCCTTTTCTTTTACGGCTGATTTTTCTTAGTTGATAACCCACACACACAACAAAAGAATTCTTCAATTTCGTCATCTGAAATTGGTTTCTAAAGATTGGACTTTTTGATAGACTCTTACAAGTCTCCCCTTTAGATTGATATTCAATACTTTTATCATTATTATTTGTTTACAAAACGACAATAGACCAAGATGTATACTTGCATTGAGATATGTTTGCATGAACCTTGAGGTTATGTAAACCTCAACAACACCATTCCTATTCTATCTTTGATCTACTCCTCACAAGAGGGACTTGAACCTTCGTTGTCTCCGTGAAAGAGAGAAGTCGTTAAACCGCTGGTGTTTTCACTGAGAATTATTTGCAGATAAAGAGATGTCAAAGGGGCTTTTTACTCAACTTATTAATATAATTTTAATTGTATATGAAAAATAATCTAAGCATAATTTTAATATAATAAGATAATCAAAAATTAAATTTATTAATACAAAAACTTATATAAAAATTAAAAAAAATTAATTTATAATAATTAATTTATATATTTTCGATATCATTTTAACTTATATGTTTTACAGATTTATTAAAAGAAAATAAAATGGTTAAGAAACAATAAAAATAATAACAGAATTGACATGTATATAAGAACTTGAGTTCTTGTTCAAACACCTGGGTTCTAATAATAACCTATGACTGAATAAAAACTTTTGTCCCACTATGGAGGTTTTTATAAAAAAAACTCCAAAAGGAACCTCCACTGTAGATGCTCTTAGGACATGTTTGGTACACAAATACACACATTTCCTTTTATATACACTTACGTAAACACATAAACACATTTCCTTATATATAAAACTTTTTTAGTTGTATGGGTCAATATATGCACAAATATACACACATATCCTTATTTATATATATATATATATATATATATATATATATATATATAGACTTGGGATCATGTGAGACCAGCCTGTTTTCGTGAGACCCGTGAGACCAGCATTTTACACTTGAAACTTCACAGCAAAAATGCTGTGAATGTGACTTTTTAAAACTTTCACAGTGTTTTTGCTGTGAACGTTCGACTTTTTTAAACCTTCACAGTGTTTTTGCTGTGAAGTTTACGTGTAAAAATGTGGTCTCACAGGTCTCACGAAAATAGGCTGGTCTCACGTGAACCCAACCCTATATATATATATATATATACATATATATATATATATAACATTTTTGTGTTTACGTACAATATCAACCATATTTTTTTTGTTAGTGTCAAACTTCTCTGGTTCTCTTCTTTTGTATTTTACGTCAAAAAATCAATTTCATAGACCAATATAAACGCAAAATTAAACAGAACTACGTATAAATTGAGTTTTATAAAACAATATATTATCACTACAATTTGAATCACCATCTTCTCACTACAAATCAAATCACTCTTTCATCAGGATATTAAACAAGAATGCAGATTTAACATACAAAAATATCAGATTATGTTAAACAGTAAGGAATAACCAATCAACTTACACGTTCTTAACCGATTATGGGGGAGAGCAAAAGGTTAAAAAACCATATGTTTTTATAAGACATTTTTTCCCAAATAATTTCATATAAAAAAAATAATAGAACGGTTTATTTTAAGAGCATCGTTACAACAAAATTAGGTTTATAGGACGTTGACAATTTCTATGTGTACCAATAAACTGTCTTATTGATAAAATAATAAAACATTTCATTTAAAAGTGTTGTAATAAGTTTATATAACGTTTATGTACGTCTTAACAAGTTTTTTAATTGGTCTTTTTTATTTATTTTGTCATACCAAATGTTGAACAACTGTTTTGTTCTATCTAGTCTTGTTCTATCATATCTTGTTTGGATACCAAACACACTCTTACTATTGTAGTAATGAGATCGTGGTTTATAATATTTTGTACAATTTTAAGATATAAGTAAACTAATAAGGAATAATTTCATTAAAATAGGATATTTGAAATAAAGAAATTAAAGATATTAATATTTTTCCTTTTAAATGGTACCTCAATATCGTGTTATCATTACAATAAGATTGAATTTATAGAAGAGAAAAGTCTAAAAAAACCTAATAGATTTTAGTGTTTGGAATGATTAAGTCATTGGACAATTTTTTAGAACAAATAAGTCATTGGATATTCCAAAACATGTTAAATAACTCTTTGGACAATTTTTTGTAACAAATAAGTCATTGGACATTCCAAAACATGTTAAATAACTCATTGGACAAATTAAAACATGTTAAATAACTCATTGGACAATTTTTTGGAACAAATAAGTCATTGGACAATTCAAAACATGTCAAATAACTCATTTGACTTTTCTAAAACCTGTTGAATACATTCTTATGACTTGTACAACTAGTTAATGTGGAAAAATAGTGAAAAAAGTCTGGAAAAAAAACCAATGAACATTCATATTTTGAACGATTAAGTCTCTAAACATTTTTTGAACCAAAAATGATTTAGATCTATAAAATTAAACAAATATAACAAAAAAAACTTACATTTACAAAAAATAATAATTATATTTAAAAAAGATTTTTGATAAAATTTATTTTAATTAAAATTAAAATATAATTAGTCGGGTA